TTTAATGTCTTTAGAATTGTCATAAAAAATAGATTTAGTTTTGAAGAAATCACTTTAATAAGAAAAAAACTGACCTTCCCAGAAAAAATATACTGAGTCCACTTTATAAAACGCCAGTACAGACGGACCTATCAGATTCAACCTTTGTCTGAGTTTCCTAGGAGTAAAGCCCTAAACCCTTTTATCTGTTATTGATACTTTGCAGTGACACGCTGGGGGGGTAATGCATGTGTATCTATGGCAGAATGTGCAGCAAATAACATAGGGACACACTGATGAATAAATTTTGAGTCTGAAAACTGAAGAAGAAAACACAAAATGGATTTAAACAACACATTTTCAGGAGCCTGTGATCAATTCGAGCCTTCATGGTCTCATTTAGATGTTTGATTTTCAACAAAAAGGTGAGAGTGACTAGCTGAAAACTGTTGGCTGATGCTGGCGAGCTTTTTAACGTGATGTTACCCGAGAAGGACTTCAACACCGACGGTATCGTATACAATACCGACGTAAATATTTTATATAACCGCGCATAACTTTCCAACCATAAAAGATAGAAACTTACTTTTTTGTCCTTGTAAAGCTGACATTTTCACCTTTACGAGCATATTATGTGATGACGCAGGGAAAACAAGTGTCCAAGAGTAATTTTTCTTTCTGCCAATCGCATTTTGATTGGCCCAAACTTTGCCAAAGAGTGTAGTGAGTCAAAATGGTCGACTGCTCTGAGCGTCTGTGTTCGTAACAATTGAAAAAGCCGCTCTTAGTGCAGTTATGTCTCAAATAAATGGCAAATAAGGCATCTTAGTCCCTTGCTATTTTGATTTGAAAAGTTTATTTCACTCAAAATGTCCAAATCCAAAAGTAATAAACCCCATGAAAATGCAGGAAGTGATGTGGCTCTGTGCCCTGGACCTGACAACAGCTGTTTTCATGACTGACAACAGTAAAGTCATGAGGCGATTGCACTTTTTTTTGTTTTTGAGGGCAATAAGTATATTTTTAGTTTACTTACAGACTTGATATTTTGCACTTTTGTAGCTAAGGCCCTAAATTAAGCTTTTCTTTATGTCCAAAAAGTTGTTTAAACATGTTCGCTGTGTGTTTTGTATGAGTGTGAAGTTTATTTTTTGGTTTTTTGGGGGTCCTCCAGGTATTTTGATGAGGTATCAGCATTATAACATGGCTAAAAGCTCACAAGACAAAAATTTCCGTAATATAGGACCTTTTTTTAAGGTGACGGAGCTATTTTGAGGAAGAAAAAGCACATTTCCAAACACAGTAAATGGCTGCCTGCTCTTGTGTGCCGTGTGGGAGACGTGCATTGTTTATTTATTACATTTCTGTAGCTTTTATTACAGCCATATGACACAGCTACAGCAGCAGATTGTGAAATAACAGGTTGTACTAAAAAAAAAAAAAGGATGTGTAACACTTCATTAGGGGGTAAAAGGGGGAGTTTTAATTGCAAAATTAAGAAAAAAAATCCAGGCGAGGTCAAATGTACTAAAACTGCCTTTAAATCAAGAAGTTAACAGCAGAAATCAGCTCACCTATTGTCGTTTTAAGTCAGTTCTTTCTAGTCAGACTGTGTTAAAACAAAGTCTAACGTCAGTAACAGACAGTGTTGGGGAGGTGACTTTTAAAATGTATTCCCCCACAGATTACAGATTACATACCCCAAAATGTAGTTTGTAACGTAATCCATGAAGTTATTTAAGGTGAGTAACGTAATCTGAATACTTTGGATTACTTGATTTACTGTAGAGTAGCAAAGACTAGGATGGTTTAGTCCTGAATTAGACCTGGTTTTAGACCTGTTTTAGATCTGGTTTAGATTTGATTTTAGTCCTGGTTTTGACCTGGTTTAGATCTAGTTTAGACCTGGTTTTAGACCTGGTTTAGACCTGGTTTAGAACTAGTTTAGACCTAGTTTTAGTCCTCATTTAGTCCTGGTTTAGACCTGGTTTTAGACCTGGTTTAGCTCTAGTTTAGATCTAGTTTAGACCTGTTTTTTGTCCTGGTTTTAGTCCTGGTTTAGACCTGGTTTAGCTCTAGTTTAGACCAGTTTTTTGTCCTGGTTTTAGTCCTCGTTTAGTCCTGGTTTAGACCTGGTTTAATCCTGGTTTAGACCTGGTTTAGCTCTAGTTTAGATCTAGTTTAGACCTGTTTTTTGTCCTGGTTTTAGTCCTGGTTTAGACCTGGTTTAGATCTAGTTTAGACCTGATTTTAGTCCTGGTTTAGACCTGGTTTAGATTTAGTTTAGACCTGGTTTTAGTCCTGGTTTAGATCTAGTTTAGACCTGTTTTTTGTCCTGGTTTTAGTCCCGGTTTAGACCTGGTTTAGATCTAGTTTAGTTTCTGGCAATGAGTGGAATTACCAAAAAAAAAAAAAAAAAAAAAAAAGGGGGGGGGATATAGCCCAAAATGTGAAAACAGGAAAATAACTCCAGTACACGTAATCTGTTACTCCCCAACACTGGTAACAGAGCATCAGACAGAGCGGTGCCTCTAGACAGCATCACCCCCAGGGGACGCCGATGACATAAACTGCAAAGTATCAATTGCGCAGTTCACACGGAGGACGAAAAATCTCTGTGTTTCTTGTTAAAACCACAAAAGGAGTAGTTGAAAATGTCAGTCAATCCACAAAAGACGACAATTATCCTTCGACTTTGTTCCATGACACGAGCTCGTCTGCGCAGCACAAAATGAGTGGCTTGTGTGGGACCCCTTCAGAGCTTCACGCGGTGGAGAGACCAGCGTGTCATTTTCTCCGCATGAGCCGCTGCATCAGAACACACAGCACTGACAAATGCCTGACAGCTCAGATTACTATTCACTGTTCGGTCTTTGTTCTGATTTGATCCAAAATGAAATTAATACAGTCGTACATCCACGCACACGCAAAAACACACAAGCTTCGTTTCTCCACAAAGGAAAGTTCAAAAAAATCTGATCAATTAGACAAAAGTAGAATAGCAGATAAAGTTCAACAGGTTAACCATCATTAATCTGCTCTTATGATTTGTAAAAAGTTATTGGTAAATTTTAAATATTGACCAAAACTGAACAAACAAGAAAAACTCCAAAAATACTTCCTCTAATTCTTAAGTAATCAATATAACTATTGTTTACTACTTAACCTACTTCACTACTACTTAACTTACTGTATTTTTTGGACTATAAGTTACACTTTTGTCCATGGTTTGAGTGTTTCCAGCGACTTATACTCCGGTGCGACTTATATATTAAAATTTACAGAATGACAGCCGCGAGAGGCGCTCTAGGCTTGTGTGTCAGTATCTGCTGCTACTATTACTCCTGTACCACTGTCACTTCGCACTCTACTGCGCATGTCTCCTGTATAATAAGTCGCTGTCTTGCTGCAAATAGTGAAACATTCAGCCGAAAACGGCAATCGAGCAGCAGAAAGAAAGTTTGGAGTGAGCGAGAAACTTGTGAGGGACTGGCAGAAAGCGAGGATGGAGAACACAGCTTCACAGCAACCAGGAGGGTGCATCATGTAACTTTCCTGGAAGTCACTGGATGAATCAACAAAGCCTGAACTTCAATGACAATCAAACCCATCCTGTTGGGATTCAGAAAGGCCAGAATAATTCTAACCGAGTCTGACGACAGCTACACAGAAGAGGAAACGACGCTCTGTTTATCTCATGGATCTATGGTTTATCTCCGGACGCGCAGAAGTGACACCGAGGATGAAGAATTCAGTGGATTTAGTGATTTGGAGTAAGATTGTGAGTTTGATAAACTTATGTTTTGTTGTTTATGTTATAATTATCTGAATAACTGTTCATATGTTACGTTAACATATTAACGCCTAATCAGCCTGTTGTTCTCTGTTCTGTTGTTATTACTATAACTTGCCTTTCAAGATGAAATGTCGGTTCTTGGTCTCTGATTTTAAAAAATGCATTTCCCCAAAAAGCGCGACTTATAGTCCGGTGCGATTTATATATTTATATATATATATATATATATATATATATATATATATATATTTTTTTTTTTTTTTTCTTCTTCATTATGCATTTTTTGGCTGGTGCAGCTTATACTCTGGAGCGACTTATAGTCCGGAAAATACGGTACTTAACTAGATCTCATGAAGGAGCCAAATATCCACCTCCCTCTAAAAAAAAAAAAAAAAAAAAAAATGCATGATTTGGTTGACTCAATTAGCATTTTGTGATAAAAATAAATAATAATAATAATACATATACAAATATTTGATTAATTCCACTACAACCAACTAGCAAATTAGTTAAAAAAAATGTTTTAATTAACTTTGTTCACTTAAATATTCTGCCCTACAAAAGCAAAAGACCTTAACTCAGCCGCCAGAGAGTGAAACTGAGAAAAATGACTTCAAAGTTTAGTTTTGTCCAGACAAAAGTATAATAAGCAGGACTCCCAAAATTTGACAACTCGTCACTACAATGAAGAAATATTTGTATGTGAAAAATATTGAGCTCAAAACTTACAGTTACAAAGACACAAGGCAGTAACATACACTGTTACTGCCTTTTGTCTTTGCACGACTCCTTATTTTTGCCTCATGATCCAAAGGCAGAGAACAAGAACGGACAAATAAGGGTCAAAGGTCAATTTAGAGCTCAATATTTTTCACGATATTTATTCACATGATAAAGGAAGACTGAAATACCCTCAAAATGACATGAACAGTATTACTTAACTACAAAACCAAAAAAGATAAAGTTAAATTTACATTGTCAACTTTGCTATGGCCTTTAGAAAGCAAAATTCTTTCCAAAAATTCAAAACTAAACTTGGTTAGAAATTCCCGCGGTGAACCATACAGCATTTACACACTGCGTCCCATTCTCTTCAGCGTCCTACATGAGTCAAAACCACAATGAAAGTGCCATTCAGTGCTGCGGTATCCCACCTCACCCACACCTCATGCCCCCGCACCCCCGACAGCACCCGCCCGCCCCCTCGCCGCCCGCCGTCTCTCACCTGCGACGGGGAGTACAAGGCCTGCCCGGAGCTTCTGGTGCTGTGCCTCATCCTCTTCAACCCCCTGTCCGCCCTGTCCTCCCTCACCGCCGGCCTGGACGTCTTCTCCTTCGCCCTCTCGGAGACCACCACCGGCCCTCCTGCGCCGCTACCTCCTCCTCCTCCTCCGCCACCCCCGCCTCCGCATCCGGGGGCGCCCATGCAACAGAGGGTGCCCTGGGCCAACTCCAGCTCAATCTCTGCATCCATCTCCGCCTCCTCCTGGGCCTCCTTGTTGGAGTCGTCCAGGTGCTTCATCAGCACGGCCACCACCACATTGATGAGCACGAACTGGGCGGTGAGCACGAAGGAGACAAAGTACATGGGCGAGATGAACTGCAGGCTCGGGTTGCACGCGTACTCCAGCTCCGTGCCGTGGTCGGGCGGGCACTCGCGCAACGTGTCCTGTAGAGGGCAGAGAAAAGATGTTTCCTTGAGTATGTTTATCAAGAAGTACTTTTCAGAGGACTTTTCTAGCAATATACTTTTACTTTTACTTGAGTAGTAATATTTTTTATTGAAGTAGCTGTAGTCTAACTTGAGTAAAAGCTGTGCTTCCTCTTCGTACTGTGAGAAAGTCTACAAGTGACAAAAGATTTATGTTGACAATATGAACTGATTTGAACATTTGATTTGCTTCTTCAGATATAATGTTTTTTTTTTGTGTTTATTGTTTGAAAATACCTGATTTTATGTATTTTTGTCATGTTTAGTCCTTCAAATTATGTTCAAATTTCAAATTATAAATCAGTTGTTACTAGGGCTGTTACGGTACATGTAATCTTACCACATCGTTTCGGTATGGGACTTTCGGTTCGGTGTATTCCACCACTACATGTGCAGCTACAGGGAGGCTCAGATCTTTATATTCACGAATGAACTCGTCCATGACTGGGATGGCTGTGTTTCCTGCAGCATTTTATAGTTAGTATGGCAGCCTTGACAACAATTGCCTCTCACCTTGACTACATCCCTCCGAACCATGTGAACCTTGCAAAACTACAGTCATCTCACCCAGCACCTCACTTTCGCCTTTTGTGGGCACGGAAAATTCATGCTGGAACTGTTACTGCTGCACTTTACTTTTTGCTTATTTGAGAAGATTTTATTAAATTTTATTTATTTATTGTATTACCAAAGCAGCACTTTGATTTTATTTCATTTTCCCATTTGTATAAATGTTAAAACAAATTGTTGGTTTAATAAACACTCAAATAAACAACAAACAAATGGTTTTACATTTTGTTCCCATAACTGTACCAAAAATGAACCTGAACCATGACTTCAAAACCGAAGTACGTACCGAACTGTGATTTTTGTGTACCGTTACATCACTAGTTGTTACAGTTGTTTCAAATTATAAATCAGTTGTTAGATGAGTAGTCAATACTTTTTTTTACTCTTATTTGAGTCATTTCACCACCACTGTTGTCCATGAAGTACTGTGTACTTGAGTAATATTATTTTGAAGTTTTACTTGAGCACAATTTTTGGCTGCTCTGACCACCTCTTGGTTAGCATGCTAGTTGTTGTTAGTTTAACCACGATGACAAAACTCTTGAAACTGAAATGTGCTCATGAACTCATCACTGTGAATAATTAGGAAGCTCTGAATGCATAAGGTAATTTTCTAAGAGTAAAAATCAGGTACAGCTCCTTTAAATACATCAGTTTAATGCCATAATGTGGAATATTTCACTTAAACCAACAACACTCATGAGAACTTACACAGTGCACCATTTAAGAGAAAAAGAAAATAATTCTTTTAAGATACTAAATGACTAAATGAAAATGCATAAGTTTGGCCTGTTGATACCTAAACTCTGTTACCACTGAGAAAATTACACTATCGTTTAGACTCCTTATTTTAATTAAACTTCATGAAACAACACTTCTTCCCCTCGAACTTTACTTTTGCTTTGAAATGATTTTTTCACATTTTTTTCCATTTTTTGCTTAACGCACCCAAAAAACCTCATTAGTACCGCTCAACGTTTTTGGCATGAAATTTTGCTATTAAAACTCGTGTTGGAGAAACGGCAGTACCACACTATTGGGACTTTCTACATATCGGTAATTAGTGCGCTAAAAATACAACTCAGATAAAGTTATTTAGAAACCAAAAAACAAAAAAAAAAGACACGGAGAAAGTCATAAAAAATAATAACTATCCCTGGTGAAAACGAGTGGACGAAAATTGAACATCTGGGGAATATTTCGCAGATTGAGAGGGACAGAAATGGTCAAATAGTCTGAAATGGCACGTGCGTGAATGTCAGAGCAAATTAGCCTCCACACAGCGGCTCTACTGGGGACATGTTATGCAAAGTGAGCTTTTCATTTGCACATTTTAACTGTTCCCATTTGGTGAAGTTGTCTCATTCCGAACACACTGGAATAGCTGATTAAAGGTCCTGCAGCCGATTTAGTTTCCCGTGTATTTGAGCAAAACGTTTCTTCAGATATACTGTTGCTATATCACGCAAAACTGACTCTCGTGAGCTTTAACTCGGGTTAGAATGTGGTTACCTCCTCAAAAACATACCTGGAGTTGTGTTTTGTTCCATTCACACCATTTATTATTATGTTTGTCTACATCTCCAAAGCTCAAAATACTCTGTTCAAACTTGTGATGTCATGAAGTGATCATTTTCATGTTTACCGCTCCGTTTATGGTTTTCCCGCAGGACCCGATGCGAAACACTACGGCGCGGGACACGTTTTGAAAGCTCTTTGCGGGCGCGGGTGGGAGTGGGAAACTAAATATGGGTGTAAAGTAAAATATATAAATGATGAATGTATGCCTATCAGACGTAATTTGTGCTGGATATTTTACTTGACATTAATAAAAACATTTTAATCAGCCTAAATTTGTGGACGTGGTCAAATCTTGCGCACATTTTGGACAATTCCTTTCCGATTCTCTGTGTTTGATAGAGCTTAAGAAAGCAAACGTCCACATCTTTCGGGATTTGCAGGCAGGAACGGCACAAAATATCGCAGATGCAGGCGGGAACGGGAATGAAAATTATAATTCTTTGTGGGCGTGGGACCGAAAATTGTGTCCAGTGCAGACCTCAGTCAAAGTGCTTTACATCAAGGAACCATTCAATTCCCATTCATGCACAAACTCGTACACCAGTGTGCACAGACGCTGGGGGCGAGGTGGGTTAAGTGTCTTGCCCGAGGACACAACAAAAGCATTCGTTCCGGTGTGGGTCAGTGGAAATTGTTGAAGAGGTTTTCAGCTTGTCCAAGAAAGGGTGGAAGTAAAAGGCTGGAGATCAACTGGACGTCTTACGCAGGAGAAGTTTATTTACCATCAATAATACGGGCCTGAGGGACTTGAAAATTGAACATAGTGTGATCTTTGAGTGTTCAAGCCCCTTTGAAGATGCTTACAAAGAAGGAGGTTTGTAAAGCAAGTGTGGTGAGACTATGAAGGCCAATAAACACCAGTTAGACAGCAATATGTCACAGTTTAGAAAGTGGTATGCCGATGGTATGCCAAGGGACGAATGGTGTAAATATAGCTTTCATGAGTCAATGTTAAACCAAGAAGTACGTGGAGGATAAATTACTTAAATTCTTTTACAGATCTGAACAGTCAACCAATGATGTTCTGTGTCAAGAGCTGAATTCGAACTACAAACCTTCTGATCAACCAGCTCTACCAACTGAGCTACTGTCGCCCGTGTTCAGTATAGACGGGCAATCCTTGAGCTGAAATTATCCAAATGATTCTAGGGAACGTGTATGGAGCACTTCCTGTATTATAGCATGACATCACAAGGTGGAACAGAGTGTTTTTCATTTGAGGGAAGAACTAAGAAGAAGCCTAAATATGCAGGGTTTGTCAGAACTCTGGATATGTTTGTGTTGAGGAAACAACATTTTAACATAGATGAGCTTTTTGGGTCTAAATATGTCCGTTGTGTACCGTCTGCGTTTAATTATAAAGCGTTTTATTGTCCGATAATCAGAAAGAGCACTGTTAGCATGCTGCTTGTTGTTGCCAAAACTTCATCTTGGTCTCTGTAAGTTGCAAAAACGCTATAAACTCTTGCCTAAAGTAAGTGAGGATTAACTTTGGACCACGGCAAACTGTTTCAAATGAACTAAGTATGTTTTTTTCATTTTTTTTTTTTATGACGGTAAATATCAGGCACAGCTAGAGTCATATTTACAGTTTCTAGTCAAGTCAGTTGTATGAATACAAAATGGATTCTCGAAAGTTTGAAATCTGTAACCTTGCGACAGTCCAGCTGCAGGGCAAGGTGAGATAAATAATGTAGGACTCCTTGAACATGAATGAAGCGAAAGAAAACTCCAGTTATGTTTTTCACGAGAACACAACACTACAACTTGGCTATAATATAGAATAAAGAACATCTTATTGACAATATACTTCCACTACTACAATATAAACAGTTTGTAGATGTCAAAAGTTATCCCTTACTTATCTTATGCATCCTAATTATTCACCACAATGAGTTTATAAAATTTATACAACTTCCAGAGGCCAGAGTGGAGTTTCGCCATCACAATAATGTTTTTGTAAGTTTTAATTTAGTTGATTTTGTTGGAAAGCACTTTGATCACCATGTGTGTTGTAAAGAGCAGTATAAATAAAGACTGCTTGACTGAAAGTACGATAGCATGCCAACACGCACTTCCTGATTCTCTAATATAAAACACTTTATTTTAGATGCAGACAGTACACAGCAGACTTATTTTGATGTCTAGAGATGCTTATATAATATATCTGTACTGGGACAAGACATATTTTGCTCAAATACATGGAAAATGACATTAATTTTTATTATTTGTATCTATGGCAACAGAGAAGTTTGATGCCATACTGCTGAACATGTGTAAAATCCCTCAGTCGTCCAGGTAGAATCCATGACAAAAGGAGAAATTCAATTTGTCAACTCGACCAAAGTTTATTTGGTCGAATACGTTTCGCAGCTCATCCAAGCTGCTTCTTCAGTTCTGGTCAGATGCTGGTGGACACTTCCTTATATCTGTCTGCAGGGAGGAGCTAACTACACTGAAACTCCTCTGAAACTAACACACCTACTTGTTTACAGTTTTTGTTAGTTAGGCCTAGTTAGTTAAGGGAGTTAAAGAAGGTATTTTTGTTAAGAAGGAGAATCCATCTTTGAACAGAAATGGAGAACTTAGACACCATCTATGTGCTATTTACAACTCCATCCTCAAACCTAAATCAAAACAAACAAAAGAACAATATCTGTAGCCAGGTCAGATCCAGAGGTGTGAAAGCTCCCATTATGGCCCTGAATGGTTATGTTAATATGACCCCACATTCCGTGCAGTTCAATAGACGTAACTAACAAACAGAAACTGTAAACAAGTAGGTATGTTAGTTTCAGAGTAGTTCGCTCCTCCCTTCTGACAGATATAAGGAAGTGTCCACCAGTGTCTGACCAGAAATGAAGAAGCAGCTTGGATGAGCTGCAAGAAAAACTATCAAAAGTAATCAAAAGTTAATCAATAAAATTCAAGATTAAATTTAAAAAGAGAGAGACAGCCATTAATTACATAAGGAGAAAATTCAGTTTGTCGACTGGAAAAAAGTTAGTTTGGTTGAAGACATTTCACAGCTCATCCAAGCTGCTTCTTCAGTTTTGGTCAGATGCTGGTGGACACTTCCTTATATCTGCAGGGAGGAGCGAACTACACTGAAACTAACACACCTACTTGTTTACAGTTTCAGTTAGGTAGTTCGGCCTATTGACCTGTACAGGGTGTGGGGTCTAAATAGCATAACAATTCATGGCCATAATGGAGCTTCCACACCTCTTAGACCCCCACGTCTTCAAACGTCTTCAACCAAACAAATTTTTGTCCAGTCAACAAACTGAATTTTCTCCTCATGAATTCTACCTGGACGACTGAGGGATTCTTTACATTCATTACATAAATTAGAGAGGAAGAGTGCAGTCCGGCCACCTATTTGAAAGCAGCCTTTTGAGTGCATTTGGTTTTGTCTGTGGTTATTTTGTGTGTTGGAAGTGTGTGTCCCTAAGTTTTACCATTTGTGTAAGCCTGCGTGTGGAAACTGTTTATTCTGTTCTGTTTCTTAGTTTTTGTATATTTTTAGTGTTTTGTTAATTTACCTTTACGTTCCTGTTAATCTTGGTTTTATTTTTGTTACTTCCCTCACCCCAAACAAGCTGGGTCGTAACAGCGTCAAAGAAGAGGCCTTTTTTACATCTTCAGGAAGACGTATTCGACCAAATAAAACTTTGTTCCGTTGACAAATTGAATTCCTCCTTTGTCATACTGTTAAACATTGCACATAAAGGATCTTGCACCAGAAAAACGTGTATTTTTAGATGTAGATTTTTATGTAACTTTGGTTTGGGGTCAATCACCTGCTTGTTTCTATGGACGTGTCATTGCTCTTCCTGGAATGTTCCACAGTGTGAGATTAAACAGCTCTGCCTTACATTTATTCAATTACAGGTGGTTTTACAGCTCAAAAACTTCTAGATAAACAGACGTTCTGACTGTGAGCGGGGTCGCCTCTCCACAGATCTGACCTGTAAGTTGGTCTGGTTTGAAAGGTTTAACACCATACTGTGGAAAATTCCGCACAAAACGATAACATCTCCACGGAGAAAAGCGTTTGACGGACTCTCCACCAGAAAAGTTAAACAACGCAGCTTTACCGTAAGATTAAAATGGAGCGTATTCAGGCCGTGATTTTTTTCATAACTTTTCTTTTTTTTAAGCAGCGCACCAAAAGCCCAGGGTCAGTGCTTCTCGTCTCTGTTGAAAGAACTATTATGCTCGCGAGTATGTTTTCATTAAAGTCACTGGATCTCCGTACCTTCATTATGCCGTTCCAGTTATCGCCCGTGGACACTTGGAACAGGGTCAAAAAGGCCATGCCAAAGTTCTCAAAAGTAGCGTGACGACTCATCCCCTCACACGGGTAGTCTTCATTACAAACTGTGAACAAAGAACGAGGAGAAGGACAAAACAGAATGGTTAAGAGGATAAAGTTACAACATAAGTTCAAGAAATTCATAGTAAGATTTATTGTCGATTTCTTCCCATGAACTAGACGTACAAAGGAGTCAAATTTACGTTTCTCTCTGTACCATGTGTGGACAAGACAGGACAAAAATTTAAGTGCAAGACAGGACAACATTTATGCGCACAAACAAAACAAAACAAAACAAAAAAAAACATATCTAACCAATACAGTAATCATAAATAAATAAATTAAGATAAAAACACTCATGTACAATACAGTGCAGTTCAAGTCAGAGTCTCGATTTTGTAATTTAAGTGGCTATGACAGATTGGACTACTTCAGTAATACATGCATCACGAATTATGGACTTTGTGCAATGCATACTGGGAAAGGATTTTCCGGAAAAGTGAGCATCAAATCACCATGTTTGTTTTCCCAGTGGGATGCGTCTATTGATAAAGCCGATCTTTTCAAGTCTTTTGGACCATATTGCTTTTTGTTTCTGGTTCTGATATCGTCTTATTTTAGTTTTGGGATTCGGACATCGTTAATTGTGTGGTTGTTGGATCCTAACAGCGGAAAACGACTTGAGAAATTTGTTTGCAAACTCCATAAATGCAAAAGGGAATCAGATGTGTGTAACTGCAAACCTCCTTCCGTTTCCCTTCCCAACCGAATTGAAAAATAGTGAAAGGCGAAGGCGATGGGCAGGATTGATCCACAGGAATGACCTAAAAGGAAACCTTTGGCTGCCTAAGAAATCATCCTGAGTTTGCAGCGAACATTTTGTATGTGGTGCACCAACAAAGTGGGATCCCGGTTGTGAATCGAGAGGTGCAGAAGACAAACAGGCTGAGCTCGCACTTTCTTTTTCTTGTGGTTTTACAGCATTATTACGTCTTGGTCTCTTTGCAGTGGAAGGTGTTTCTTGGCGAACAGCTGGTGCCTTTCACTTTTGCGTTGACTTTTTAAATTCATAACCAAGGTGGAGTGAGGGATCGGGATTTTGTTTTGTTGGCACTCCACATACAAAATGTTTGCTGCAAAATCAGGATGATTTAGGCAGCCAAAGGTTTCCTTTTAGGTCCTTCCTGTGGATCAATCCTGCCCATCACCTTCACCTTTCACTGTTTTTCAATTCCGTCGGGAAGGGAAACAGTTTGAACGGAGGTTTGCAGTCACACAGATCTGATTCCCTTTTGCAGTTATGAAGTTCGCAAACAAATTTCTCAGCCGTTTTACGCTGTGAGGACATCCAACAACCACACAATTACAATGTCCGTATCCCAAAACTAAAATAAAACGATATCAGAACCAGAAACAAAAGCGATATGGTTCAAAAGACTTGAAAAGATCGGCTTTGTCAATCCCACTGGGAAAACAAACATAGCGGTTTGCTGTTCACTTTTTCAGAAAATTTCGCAATGCATACCGGAAAATCCTTCCCAGTATGCATTGCGCAATGACCGGAAGTCCGAAATTCGTGATGCATGTATTGTTTGTGCATACTCAAAATTAGACGTTCATTCATGTTACATGATTTCACGTTGTACTTTTTTTTCCCTCTCTGCGTTTCACTGCAGCCCAGTTGAGTTTACATAAAAATAAGCTAATAAAATTTACGTTTGTGAAAAAAATAAGACTTGGACAACATAATTAAGACTTTTTAAGGCCTTAATTTAGGGACATGAAATTTAAGACCTTTTTAAGACTTTTAAAACTTAAGACTTTTTGGTTAATTACCAAAACACTGGAAGCGATGGCATGAAGTTCTTTATGTTATAATTTGTTGTTTGGAAATCTTCACTGCCTAAACCTCAGGACCTGCAGCCAATCATGAGCCAGTGCTAGTGCAGCCTTTGCAGCTCAGTGAGTGAGTTCTGTAGGTTCTGAAGTTCTTTCACATGAGGGCCATCCATAAAGTGAGAATGCGACAAACTTGTAAATGTTCTCTGTCTGCAGGTTAAAGCTCTGGTATCCAGGGCCTCGTCGCAGTGGGACTGTCACTGTGCCATGAAATTAAAATAATTAAAAAAGACATAAAAACAAAATAATCAGCACAAACTGTCACAAGTGTGCCTCCCGTGTGTGAACAGATTGTGTTTTAGTGCAAACAGCTCCAGCCCTGCTCCAAAACCATCTGTGTGAGAGCAGGAGAGCCACCAAACGCTAGGATTACACGCGTACTTTTCCATCTTTCCTTCTCTCCTCTCTCTCTCCATCACTCCGTCTCTCCCACGATTGGTTTCCATCCACTCCCACCTTCTCTTTCTTTCTTTCTTTTTCCTTTCTCCTTTGCCTCAGTGTCATTTCTCTTTCTCTCCCACTCTCTTGTTTTGGCTTTTCCTCTACCTCGCTCTTTCTTCATCTAAATCTCTCTCCGCCTCCTCACCCTTCTCTCTCTCCGTTTCCATTTTTCCTCCTCTCTCCATCTCTCCTCATCCATCTCACTCTCTTTTCTCTCCACCCTTCTGTCTGTCTCTCCCTCTCGTTATTTCGCTATTTTCTCTTTTTTTACTTTTTGTCATTTTCTTTCCCTTTCTCATTACCCGTCTCTCTCGCTCTGTCTCCATCCGTCTCTCCGCTCTCTCCCTCTCCACCCTTCTATCACTCACTCCCACTCTCTCTTTCCATTTATGTCTCTCGACTTTCTCTCTATTCCATCAGCAGTCTCCTACACCCTTTCCCTTTGTCTCTCTCTTTCTCCAACCCTTCATCTCTCTATCCTTCTCTTTTTCTCCTCTGTCTTTCTCTCTCTTCCTTCTTCTTTCAATCTTTCTCCCCTCTCATCTCTCCTCGTCATTCTCTCTCTCTTTCTCTCTACTCTTCTGTCGATCTCTCCCACTCTCTCTTTCCATCTTTGTCTCACCATTTTCTCTCTTCCTCTTTTCACTCCCCTCTCATTTTCTTTCCCTTTCTCATTATCATCTCTCTCTCCATCCATCTCTCCTCTCTCTCCCTCTCCACTCTTCTATCACTCACTCCCAGTCTCTCTTTCCATTTACGTCTCTCGACTTTCTCTCTCTTCCATCAGCAGTCTCCCGCACCCTCTTTCTTTCTCCGTCTCTCTCTTTCTCCAACCCTTCATCTCTCTATCTCTCTTTCCTTCTCCTTCTTTCTCCATCCTCCTTACAATTTCATTCTTTCTCTCCATCTCTCCTCATCCCTCTCTCTCTCTTTCTCTCTACCCTTGTGTCTCTCTCTCTCTCTCTGTCTCTCTCTTTCGTTCTCTTTTCTCTGTCTTTCTCCAACCCTTCATCTCTCTGTATCCCTCTCTTCTTCTCCTTCCCTCTTTCTATCGCTTCCTTACTTTTTCAATCTTTTCACCCTCTCCATCTCTCCTCGTCCTCTCTCTCTTTCTCTCCACCCTTCTGTTGATCTCTCCCACTCTCTCTTTCCATCTCTGTCTCACCAGTTTTTCTCTTCCTCTTTTCACTCAGCTCTCACTTCCCTTTCTCACTACCCATCTCTTTTTCTAAAATTTTCTCTCTCTCTCTCTCTCTCTCTGTCCATCTCTCCTCTCTCTTCCTCTCCACCCTTTTACCACTCACTCTCTCTTTCCATCAATGTTGCTCAACTTTCTCTCTTTCATCGCCAGCCTCCCACCCTTGCTTTCTCCTCTGTCTCTCTCTTTTCCTTTCTCTCTCCAACTCTTCATCTCTCTATCCCTCTCTTCTTCTACCTCCCTCTTTCTCACTCTTCCTTGCTTTTTCAGTCCTTTTCTCTTCCTCTTTCCTCAATCCTCTTCCACCCTTTTCACTCCCCTTTCATTTTCTTTACTTTTCTCGTTACCGATCTGTTTCCCTCCCTCTTTCAATCTTTCTCTCAATTTTCTCTCTCCATCCATCTCTCATCTCTCTTCCTCTCCACTCTTATATCACTCACTCCCAGTCTGTCTTTCCATTTTTGTCTCTCGACTTTCTCTCTTCCACCACAAGCCCCCCACCTCTTCTATCTCTCTGTCTCTCTTTTTTCTTCTTTTTCTCCAACCCTTCATCTCTCTATCTCTCTCCTTCTCCCTCCTTCTTTCTCTCTTTACTCTACTTTATATCTCCACAATCTTTGGAATGGACTCAACTGATCTACGCTGCATGATTTCACCACTTATCCTTTCCGTTGCCAAAAAAAAAGAAAAAAAAAAGGCTTTTATTTTGCCGATAGGACATTTTTGGATGTGAAATCTGGAAAGTGGAAGTGACTGATTTAAATTTTTGTTGCCCAGTTGATGAACGCTCCAGGGAAGAGCCAACTCGACTGACACGGAGATAAACAGACACATGAGAGAGAGAGAAAGAGGGGAGCAGTTTTATCTGAATCGGGAAATTATTGGTACTTAAAGATCATGTATTATGCAAAACTGACTCTTTTGAGCTTTTAGCCATGTTAGAATGTTATTACCTCATCAAAAAACAGACCTGAAGTTGTGTTTTGTTTCATTCACACATGATTGAGTAAGTTTTTATTATTAATCTGTCTACATCTCCAATGCTCAAAATGCTCTGTTCCAACTTGTGATGGAAAACGTTTGGAAAGATGTGATAACAACTTCTGGCGGGCTTTGTTCGCGGTAGTAAGTCTGCCAAAATGTAGGAAAAATTAGAAAATGGCCCAGTTTTCTTCATCTCCCTGTCATTGTAGCGTTTCGTTATGTTGTTGAGTTAAACATGTGTCCCGTTACTACTAAACTAAAGGTAAAATGTCAGGGATGTCCTGATCACATTTGTTTGCTCCAGAGTCCGAGTCTTTTCTAACCATTCACCATCATTGTTGAAAATCTTGACTTTTCACAGTCTGGTCTTGGAATGTGTAACTTAGTATATGAACCAGACCAGAATCAGATCAGACCTGAGACTCGACTCTGCACAATCTACAGTTTGTATATTTGATATTACATGGAAGCCTGTGCATTACATTTTAAACATTTAGGCTCGTCTATGAAATCCAAATAATACAAAATCTTACCAAATAAAAACGCGATGACAGAAGCCCCACAGCCTCTCTCCCGAGCACCGCGAACACATCCACAAACCCACAGCGGAGCGCGCACCACATACAACATCAGTCTCACGGCTCAATAGACACTTCATTCCACTGTTCCCACCCTCCCTGCCAAAAGCGTCAGCTGTGCTGTGAAACATGCAAACAAACAGAGCAGTGCGATGACGCCATCGGCCGCACAGGTGTGAACATGAGCCACAGAACCCCAGGTAACAGCGCCCGAGCACGGCACGGCCCAAAAGTCCCAGCATAAGTGCGCCTCTGGTACAGCAAGCACTAGGACTGACGTCGCGCTGACGGGACGTCCCTGAGCAAATCCTGCACCTCAGAAAAACTGTTGTGTCCTGTGTGTCTTGTGTGTTATATACGTATATTATTTATCCGATACCTGATCGGCACAAAATGTCAGAGTCTGGATCAAGTCCACAGTTAAGTGATCGGCGCCAATTTCCGATCACGTGATCGGATCGGGACAGCCCTATAAAATGTTGCTGTTAACTTGAAATCTACCACTTCATGACATCACAAGGTGGAACAGAGCATTTTGAGCTTTGGAAATGTAGACAGACTAATAATAAAGGATGACTCAAACTCAAAACACATGACTAAAACCTCACAAGAGTCAGTTTGGCTTAATATTTGAACTTTAAAAGTGCATTGTGTAACTTTTCTGGAGGATCCGTCAAATGTTTTTTTCCATGGAGATGTTATTGCTTTGTCTGGAATATTTCACACTATGACTTTAAACCTTTCAATCACCATGAAGACCAAATCAGACCAAGCTACAGGTCAGGTCTGTGGAGAGGCGACCCCGCTCACAGTCAGAATGTCTGTTTTTCAAGGTATTTTTAAGCTATAAAACCACCAGTAATTGAATAAATGTAAGAAAGAGCTGTTTAATGTCATACTGTGGAACATTCCAAGCAGAGCAGTGACATATTAATAGAAACAAGGAGGTGATGGACAATCAAAAAGTTACATAGTGCAACTTTAAGTATCACTGTTTATAAAAAAAAATAAATGGAGAAAAGTGACTCCCCAGTTTGAGTACAGTGTGTGGGTATAGTGTGTGTAGTATTTTCCAGACAGAGTAAACTTGTGTTTATATTCACTTCTTACCAAGTTCTCCAAACAGCTCCACTCCTAAGGCGGCGTAGATGAAAAACAGTAGCATGAAGAGCAGGCCCAGGTTACCCACCTGCAACAGCACACAAGCAGAACACACATTTAGACACATTAGCATGGGGTTTAGGTTAGAAAAATCACAAAAACACTGGGGTTAGGAACTTTTTCTGACACGCTAACGAAAGTACACAGCTGTAGTTAACACAATTTGACAGCAGAAATGTTCCAGATTTGATTTATAGACTTAAAACCGGGCAGGAGATCTCTGGGCTTTTACCTCTGACATAACAAAACTGAGAATTTCAAAATTACATGTTTTTATGGGACATAGACAGAATGCCTTACTAAAAAAGATTCATCAAACAAGCATGAACGAAGGAAAATACAACTCCAGGTATGTTTTTGATTAGGGAACAATATTATGACTAGGGGTGTGCAGAAATATCGAAATATCAATATATCGTATCGTTTAATGTGATGATACATTACAGCAGTATCGTGGGCTGCTGTATCAATATATCACCGGGAGTATTTTTTGGTATATTTGACTAATCATTTAGTTACAGAGCTACAGTTCTGTTGCTTGTTTGAAGGAAAGTCATTTATGCAACACATTTCACATTTTCACTGTTTTGAGGCTTAAAATGGGCGTGTTTTATTTTAACTTTGCACAAGAAGTGGTTTAGCAAAGACTTTTAGTATCACAGCCATGATTTTTTCTTGAGCTTTCTTGAATCGATTAGAAATATATTGTAGTGAATCAAATCGAATCGACTGCTCACTGTATCAAGGTATGTATCGTATCGTGGCCTCTGTATCGAAGTATGTATCGTAATGTGGCCTCTGTATCGAAGTACGTATTGTAACGTGGCCTCTTTATCGAAGTATGTATCGTAACGTGGCCTCTTTATCGAAGTATGTATCGTATCGTGGCCTCTGTATCGAAGTATGTATCGTATTGTGGCCTCTTTATCGAAGTATGTATCGTATTGTGGCCTCTTTATCGAAGTATGTATCGTATTGTGGCCTCTGTATCGAAGTATGTATCGTATCGTGGTATCGAGTATGTATCGTTGTATCGTATGTATTTATCGAAGTATGTATCATGTGGCCTCTGTATCGTATCGTAATGTGGCCTCTGTATCGGTATTGTACGTGGCCTCTTTATCGAAGTATGTATCGTATCGTGGCCTCTGTAGCAAAGTATGTATCGTATCGTGGCCTCTTTATCGAAGTATGTATCGTAACGTGGCCTCTGTATCAAAGTATGTATCGTGTCGTGGCCTCTTTATCGAAGTATGTATCGTATTGTGGCCTCTTTATTGAAGTATGTATCATAACGTGGCCACTTTATCGAAGTATGTATCGTATGTCTTATGTATGTATCCTATCTTGGCCTCTTTATCGAAGTATGTATCGTATCGTTGCTCTGTATCGAAGTATGTATCGTATCGTGGCCTCTGTATCGAAGTATGTATCGTGGCCTCTGTATTGAGGTATGTATTGTAACGTGGCCTCTGTATCAAGATAAGTATCGCATCATATGTAGGTATGCGTATCATGGCCTCTGTATCGAAGTACGTTGTATCGTAGCCTCGTATTAAAGTATGTATCATATCGTGGCCTCTGTATCGTATCGTTGTAGTGGCCTCTTGTATGTCGGTATCTTTATCGTATGTATTGTATGGCCTCTTTATCGAAGTATGTATGTAACGTGGCCTCTTTATCGAAGTATGTATTGTAACGTGGCCTCGTATGTATGTAACGTGGCCTCTTTATCGAAGTATGTATTGTAACGTGGCCTCTTTATCGAAGTATGTATCGTAACGTGGCCTCTTTATCGAAGTGTGTATTGTAATGTGGCCTCTGTATCGAAGTATGTATCGTCTCGTGTCCTCTGTATCGAAGTACGTATTGTAACGTGGCCTCTTTATCGAAGTATGTATTAACGTGGCCCTTTATCGAAGTATGTATCGTAACGTGGCCACTTTATCGAAGTATGTATCGTATTGTGGCCTCTTTATCGAAGTATGTATCGTATCGTGGCCTCTGTATCGAAGTATGCATCGTATCGTGGCCTCTGTATCGAAGTATGTATTGTAACGTGGCCTCTTTATCGAAGTATGTATCGTAATGTGGCCTCTGTATCGAAGTATGTATCGTAATGTGGCCTCTGTATCGAAGTACGTATTGTAACGTGGCCTCTTTATCGAAGTATGTATCGTAACGTGGCCTCTGTAGCAAACTATGTATCGTATCGTGGCCTCTGTAGCAAAGTATGTATCGTATCGTGGCCTCTTTATCGAAGTATGTATCGTAACGTGGCCTCTGTATCAAAGTATGTATCGTGTCGTGCTCTTTATCGAAGTATGTATCTCTTTATGAAGTATAACGTGGCCACTTTATCGAAGTATGTATCGTATTGTGGCCTCTTTATCGAAGTATGTATCCTATCTTGGCCTCTTTATCGAAGTATGTATCGTATCGTTGCCTCTGTATCGAAGTATGCATCGTATCGTGGCCTCTGTATCGAAGTATGTATCATATCGTGGCCTCTGTATTGAGGTATGTATTGTAACGTGGCCTCTGTATCAAGATAAGTATCGCATCGTGGCATATGTATAGAGGTATGTATCGTATCATGGCCTCTGTATCGAAGTACGTGTCGTATCGTAGCCTCTGTATTAAAGTATGTATCATATCGTGGCCTCTGTATCGAGGTATGTTTCGTGTCGTGGCCTCTTTATCGAAGTATGTATCGTAACGTGGCCTCTTTATCGAAGTATGTATTGTAACGTGGCCTCTTTATCGAAGTATGTATCGTAACGTGGCCTCTTTATCGAAGTATGTATTGTAACATGGCCTCTTTATCGAAGTATGTATCGTAACGTGGCCTCTTTATCGAAGTATGTATTGTAACGTGGCCTCTTTATCGAAGTATGTATTGTAACGTGGCCTCTTTATCGAAGTATGTATCGTAACGTGGCCTCTTTATCGAAGTGTGTATTGTAATGTGGCCTCTGTATCGAAGTATGTATCGTCTCGTGTCCTCTGTATCGAAGTACGTATTGTAACGTGGCCTCTTTATCGAAGTATGTATCGTAACGTGGCCACTTTATCGAAGTATGTATCGTATTGTGGCCTCTTTATCGAAGTATGTATCATATCGTGGCCTCTTTATCGAAGTATGTATCGTAACGTGGCCACTTTATCGAAGTATGTATCGTATTGTGGCCTCTTTATCGAAGTATGTATCATATCGTGGTCTGTATCGTATCGTGGCTCTGTATCGAAGTATGCATCGTATCGTGGCCTCTGTCTAAGTATTTATCATATCGTGGCCTCTGTATCGAGGTATGTATTGTAACGTGGCCTCTGTATCAAGATAAGTATCGCATTGTGGCCTCTGTATTGAGGTATGTATCGTATCATCGGCAACTTCTTAAATACCCAGCCTTAATTATAACTTGGTAAAAGCTCTAAAGATCTTTAAAGTTGGTTTCCATGGCATTTTCATTCACTGCCTATACAGCATTCATACACTGCTATCAGAACATAAACGGAAGGTGGGTGAAGAAAATCTTGCCCAAGGACAACAGCCGCTTAAATATCCATAATATAAGACATGAGAGCATCTGAGTACAGCAGTAACTCTCCTCTGATGATTTTACATGTAACTAATAACAAATGACATGGTTAGAATTTAAAGGGACAGTCCAGAATTTTGGACATAGCACCTCATTTTGTAGTTAACCAGAGTGTTGTTATTAGAGACGTGTGGAGACACTTTTTTTTAAAATATTCCATCCAGACATAAATCCTTCAAATGCAAGGTTGGTTTTACTTCTAAAATTATTCTGTCAACAAAGACATTTACATCGACAGTTTGGTGTAATAAAAGTTTTGCCTCAGGTGTTTTGTGGGTTGGGTAAGACCTAGCACCAGCGACCTCTGCAAATACAAGGACTGGATGGAATATTTTAAAAAAGTGTCTCCACACGTCTTCAACCCTCTGACTCACTAGGAAATGAGGTCCTATGTCCAAAATTCTAGACTGTCCCTTTAACTAAATCGCAACAAATCTTGTCATGATTCTAACATTTCAAACTAAATTTCGATACTAAGGAATAGACTCAATCCTCAATACCGATTCTGAAAACTTCTGATAAACTTTTTTAGACCATAAAATGAGGTTTTCAACATTAAAGGGCCCATCTCATGCAAAATCAACTTTTCAGAGCTTTCTACCTTCTAAGAGTGATGTGTGGGCCTTGTATATGTGGCCAAAGTGTTTTTTAGTTTGATTTTTATTTATTTTTTTAAACAAATTGCAGCATATTTCTGCCACCCTCCCACATGACAACAAACTAAAGCCTGGTACAATGATGACGCGGCAGCTACGCCTATGACGCGTTTGACATAGCAGAAAAAGCTTCGCACCCTCCCTCGCTCCACTGCCTCCGCCCCGCCTCCACCCTGCATCGTCTGACAATTCCCACATGAACACCTAAACAAAAGCGACAGCATAAAATAATTGTTCTACACTGCAGTGTACACGATATAATAAGTTTATCTACTAGTGTTTATTAATACTTTACTAATCAGTAATGTTCAGCTGATGTCGACGAGGTGCTTGCGCTTCATGCACCTCAAAGTCCTCGTCCGATTCCGGGTTCAACACATGCGGCTGAACACGCTGTATCGCCATGATGAATAAAAGTTTATTCCTGCCACTATCAGGGTGCACGCCTGTCTCCCCCTCCCTCCCTGAGATGGCGGAGGAAGGGCGGCTCACTCAGAGCCTACGTCACGTTTGGAGGGCGGAGCCTGTGCTTTCTCAGGACGGGCGGAGGGATGAGCAATAGTCGGTCTTTCATAGTTCCTGGTCTGTGATTGTCTCCAAGAAATCAGTAAGATTTCATAACTATTGTGTAATGGATGTTCCAAAACCCAAACTGTGCTTGTTTATGTGCAGAAGATACAATGTGAAAAGAGTTATTTTACATGAGATGGGCCCTTTAAATGGTAATATTTTCTTTTATATTCCCATGTGGTCTTATATCTCTGTGATCT